GAACTGGGAATAAATCGTGTTAAAAAGAAGCTTATCGTGAACTCTGTTAGAACTGGGAATAAATCTTATCATGAACCGGTGGTGAATCGTGTTTCAGAGAAGCCTATCATGAACTCTACCAGAACTTGGGGTAGATCGTATTACTGGCTTACCATGAACTCTCCATAATGGTTTAAAGTGTTGTTTTAAACAGGATACATTCTGGTAACACAGAACAGCGGCATCTAGGGCGTTCACACCTTCCCATGGAAAACCTACCCGCATGTGAAGCTCGTCCATGATACACGACTTTACAATTAGATTACAAAAATAGGATATCGTTTTTGGTAACCACGGTGTTTACAAACAAAGATATCTGGTAACCACGGTGTCTACGAAGAAAGATTGGAAGACGTTATTCATAACCACAGTGTTTACGAAAAAGGATTACCATGGAACCAGCGTGTTTACGAATAAATATTACACCGGAACCAATGTTTGTGTAATAATGAATAAAGATTACCGTGAAACCACGAAAAACTATTACTTAATAATCACAGGTTAGCTCGTTAATACTTTATTGATAACTGCACTATTTACGAATATTATGTACGATAAACGATTACCCCATAACACGATGTTTACGAAGAAAATTGGACGACGTTATTAATAATCACAGTATTAACGAATAACGATTTCTTAGTAACCACAGTGTTTATGAATAAAGATTACTTCGTGAATGAAATGAAATGAAATGGGGTTTAACGTCCTACTGTTCTGCTCCTAACCTGGGCTAATGAAGACGGGCATATGCCATACAGTGTGCTATGAGGGAGATTTTGCCCGGGCAGCGGCGTTACAGCCTACTCTTATATCCAATTCTAACTGCCAAGGGATATTTTACGTGCACGCCAATGTGTACACGGGACCTCGGTTTTTCGTCCCATCCGAACGACTAGACAACTGTCCTTGTCAGGCCCTCCATCCTGCATCACTGACAAAGGGAAACCGACTACTTCGTAACCACAGTGTTTACGAATAATAATTATTTTCGTAACTATAGTCGTAACGAATAAAGCTGACCTCGAAACACGGTGTTTATAAAGAAAGATTGAACGACGTTATTCATTGCCACAAAGTTAAAGAATAAAGAATACCCCGTAAATACGGTGTTTACGAGTACAGGTTATATCGTAATTATCACAGTGTTTACTAATAAAATTTACTTCGTAACCTCAGTGTTTACGAATAAAGTTTGTCGCGTTAATACTGTGTTTATTAATAAAGATTACCACGTAAATACAGTATTTGCGCCTCTACCGGGGCTAGGAATAATGTCTTTTAAACAGAGAGAAATTGGGTTTAACGCCCACTCGACACAAACTAGGTCATTTCGGGACTAATATATGGTTCAATTTTATTTTCAATAATTCGCTTGCGCGTAGGTCTTTACCAGTGGGAGGAAACCGAGCGACGCGGAGAAAACCCACGAGGTTGGGCAGGCGATCCTCCTTGTCACGTACAACCCGGAAATAGAAACCACAGCAGTTGACTCTATGACAGATCTTATGTTAGAACGCACACGCACTAACCATTCGGCCATCCATATACTGGCTCGAATTTATCTTATTTGCTGAAACAAATTTATCACCCAATTTTATTCCAGTAATGGATTAGTTTGTCATGACAGGGTGTCTATATGTTGAAAAAGAAAAGTGGCGTTTTATGATGTAATTGGTATATTTAGTTTATCAGCTACGCATTTCATATTTGATATTGACATTTCCGTGTGTTTTTATGAAGTCATGGTAACGTCTGTTTACATTCACCTTCGTCATCATGGTTATCTCAAAGATCAACATCCGGAAATTTATTGAGGCGGGTCGGAGGGAAGGGGTGGTATACAATGGTATACTAAATATATGAGAACCCCTCTCTGAGATACCAAAGCTCGTCTATCCTATATCCAAAAACCTTACTCAGTTTATACTCAAATGGTACATTCATTAATGATTCTGAACATAAGATTATCTTACGATAATCACATAGCAGGTTACAGAACAATTGGGTGCCCCAACAATTGATGTGTGAAAAATGAATACATTGTAGTAAACGCAACCAGCGGTAGGCGTATTATCTAACTTGACCACTAAAGAAAGGCCAGCCGCTGGGCCTTTGTTAAATAGTATGGTCTATTAAAGGACATCGGAGATGGTGATTCTAATCTTTTACCTATCACTGCCCCTCACATTATGTTACAAAAGTATCTCTCTCTCTCTTTCTCTCTCTCTCTCTCTCTCTCCAAATGCAAGATTTTTTCAAGTATTTGACCACTTACTGATTCACGAAGATGATAAATAAATACACATGTCCCGGGGTCCCACGGGCAGAGGTGGCCTAATGTTAACCGTTGTAATAGGCTACGCTGTGACTTGTTTTAATGGTTCAACTCTAATTTTGTTGGAAGTACCAATACAATAAATATATGTTTAGTTTTATCGATCATTTGCATTTTTATTCCCATGAGTGGCAGGGATATAAACAGGTGACCCCAGTGCACTGATCGGCTACGGACCTATAGTACTTTTGAAACGGTCCTGATTTTAACGCTCCATCCACCATAAATTGCAAAAAAGGCAATTTTGTAACAAAGATGAAATGAAATGAGGTTTAACATCTTACTGCTCTGTTCCGACTGGGCTAATAAAGACAGACATACGCCATATGAGCTACGAAAGAAATTTTGCCCGGACAGCGGCACTACAACACACGCTTATATCAAATTCCAAATGCCAAGGCATATTTTACGAGCACGCCAATATGTACACGGGCCTCGTTTTTTTTAAAAACTAAACACAGATGATACTTATAGCCCTAGTTGCCTCCACAATCAGTGTAGCAACTTTGATTTCCGGGGCCATGGTGGCTTGGTGGGTAAATAATACGTTGGCTCACTAACCTAGGTGTTCCATGTTCCATCGCAGTGTTTGTCGAACAAGGCCATCGGAATTTTCCAAATTGGTTACCACTTATCAGTGGTACACGTAAAACAATCTTCGAAAATTGGAATTCGATCCAATTGTAAACCATAGTGGCGCTGTCTGGGCAAAATGTCCTTCATAGCACATTGTATGGGGTACGCCCGTCTTCATTAGCTCAGTTGATACAAAAAAAAGTACAACGTAAAATACCTATTTATTAAATAACTTTGTTTTTCTACATTATTAACATCTCGATCAACTTGTTTGGACGACCCCATGACGAAACTGGTCTTCTGCCTTTATTTGTCTATTTATAAGCACAAATTAACAGTTTTAATAGGCTAATGTGACCTGTATACTCTAGTTCAATTACTAAATGCCATTGAAACAGTGAATTCACTTGGTGGACCCAGCTGCTGATTTCACTGACATATAATTTTATAACGATGAACATACGCGTACCTGACGTTAGACAGTAACGTTGGTCTGACATCATTGCTATGTCGATATCGTCAAATACATATATACGCATTGATTATATCGATTTTTCCACCACCAGATAAACAGGTTTTCCTCCTGGGGAATTTTGGACTTGGAATGAAGAGACGGAGAGAGAGACAGAGGGGGCGGGGCACTTTAACGCCCACTCGACACAAACAAGCTCATTTCGGGACTAACATAACATGGTTCAATTTATTGCGCGTAGGGGTCTTTAGCAGTGGCAGGAAACCGAAGGAACTGGAGAAAACCCTCAAGTTGGACCTGCGACCCTACTCCATGTCAAAAACAACCAGAGGATCAAAACCATGCCAGTTGATTTAATGACAGACCTTATGATACAGCGCGCACGCGCTAACCTTTCGCACCCCCCCCCCTCCAAAAAAAAGAACCCTGGAATAAAGAGAAGTTTGGTCCAAAAATGAAACTAAATATCTTAAGCATTACTTTTCGGCACCGACCGGGATAATGCAAACTGATTTACCTCATGCTTTGTGCTATGAGGGACAATATGGTCTGACAGCACCTTTTCCGCCTATTTTTCGTCGAATTCCATCTATCTGGGGTTATTTTACGTAAATGGGACTGTGGTGTGACAGCGCCTTTTCCGACTATGTTTTGTCGAATTCCATCTTCCAAGGGTTATTTTGCGTAAATGGAACCGTGGTGTTTCGCCCCATTCGAACGACTAGACGATGATTGTTGCTAGTGCTTGGCCCTCCTCCGACCTGTACCAACGACTGGATCGAACCCACGATCTCCACGACGGGATTCAATCCAACGCTGTTCCCAGGTCGAAAAATCTGCATGGAACATTGTCGACTATCGTGACTCCATAAAATTAGAAAGGAAATGGGTTCTGAATAAAATAAATATTCCGTCTTCTAAACTTCAGCACGGCACCAAATCGAATATGTAGCACCATAGGTCTTTTGTCTGACGTGGAGAGCGGATTAGGGAAACCGGTCGCCACATCCTACATACGACCAATGCATCTTTTCTTACTACATATTTCGGTAGCCTTGTGATCGTCTAGAATTTGTCTCTAGTTGTCTTTACTTCTGCTTCACGTTGTGTATTTACTTCTTACAGTTTCTTAAGACGGTTGTCTTACCAGGAATAACAATGCAACAGTTCGCTTCTACATTTTATATAGCATAGCCGAATACATATATGGATACAAGCATAATATATAACAATACTAGCTAAAACTATTTCTCCACCTTAGCCAGTCTGGCGGCTGTCTAAGAACTCAGATGGAAGCTCTCTGGAATCTAATGGAAGTCTGACTTAAAACTTTACTATGAATTATTTTATAAGACTCCTGGATATCACGCACATAAAGCCTGTTCATGGCCCTGAACCTGTGCAATTAACGATATGATTGTTTACTTTAGTCACATATTTGCATAAAAAACTAATGTTTTTGGACACTGTTTGTTTGTACTGTTACACAGCACAGAATATAGCACTAGATTTTTGTAGTCACCGGGAAAATTTCAAGTTTTCATATTAAATAAGCAACCATGTGGGTCTCTTGCGTTATGTTGGTGCATTCTTTTTGCTAAACAGAATGGCTGGTATTGAAATTCGCTTCCTCTTAACAGCAGGACTCAGAGAGTATTGTACCTTTGATTGTCTTAAAATTTCCTTAAAAATGCCAACAATGTTGATATTATCTTTGGCCGAGGCCTCGATATATCCGTTTCCCCATTCCACAGACACAAGCAGTTCCGCCGTTACTCGACTAATTATTCGTTTGTCTTCTAATACGTCTGTTTTATTTGCCACAATCACAATTGGGACATTTTCATCGTCTCGCTCGGCAATAATCTGTTCTCTCATGATTTTTACTTCATCAAAGGAGGAAGCATCGTTGACCGAGTACACCAGTATGAAGGCATTGCTCTTGGCTATGGCTAACTTTCTCATGGCAGGAAACGAATGAGCACCGGCAGTATCTAAAATGTCTAAAATAAGCTGCTTGCCGTTCTCATTGCACTCTCCACTATGTAGTTCTTCAACTGTTTCTTTATATTCACTGACGAATCTCTCGTAAAGAAATTGTGAGATGATACAACTTTTACCCACCGCAGCTGCTCCCATCACTGCGATTCTAAACCGTGCAGTTCCTCCTTTTTCAGAAATGGATTTCTGAGATAGTTGAAGAATCGTTGATCTGGTGGACTTAAGCATCTCTGTAAGTGTATTAGCGAGTTTCCTCTCAATCGAGAATACAAATAATAAGTTCTTATTCAGAAAAGTTGTCGTACAATCAAGTGTACTACATATCTTTTGTTGACATGCCTTATATACCTTTGGAATAGTTCAAGTTTGCAAGTGCGCGCTAACCGGTAACCAATAAAAACGATTCTTTGAAATTAGCACATTGGAATCATGTTTTGCCATGACAACCACTTACTTCGTATGAAAATGAAAACAATTCCATTACGAAAGAAATGTACTTCTGTAAGCGATAAAAATCAACCAACTTGTTAGACGAATGTGAGAACACTGCACTACCGAACACTGGTATATTAATTATGTAGATGCCCAGCAGTGCTCACTCTGGGTTTCATTTTTTTCCGCCAATTTTTCATTTTAATTTATTAGCCATATATTTTCTCCACCAAAATAAAGAACAATTATCTATTAGATTTTTTCAATATTTTTTTTTTTACATAAGTACATACAATATACATCTAATATTAAAACTTACAAAATTCTTCTCTGCTTTGCAGAAGCCCATTTTTGAAATTTTTTTCAACATCTGGGTTAACCACTTTTCCATTTCTTAGTAACATTAAATTACACAGTGTATTTGTTTTTAATGAATATCCGTATATCTGAAAATTTCCATTGAAGACTATGTTTTTACTGTACCGACTTACGTAATGATGATCGAGGCTAGGCCTAACATTCAAAAGCTAATATCTCGGTTCAGAGAGGAGCAATTTGACTGAAATTTCCAGCATATTCTATTCACGTTATCTAATTTTAACTGCCAGTTCTTTATCTAATTTCCCATAATGCCCCTTTAAGATTTTTATTTTTCGTAATTTGTCTGTGTCGCGAACGTTTGAGGTAGCTTACATGCAGATCTATTGTAGAAGTTGGTATCGCTTCAACATTCAAGGATGTAATAATATTAGATGGACGAGAGCTGGTCATGTCAGTATCATCTGTAGACTTGGAGCATTTTGGTGGTGACATACCAAAATACTCTGACATTCTTCTATCGACCATTGACGAAGGCTGTTCAATTTTTCGTTTACGATCCATGGCATGTGATTTGATGATAACTGACTTTCGATTTTGTTGTTGTTTATTACAAATTTACCGTCCAATACATAATGCATGATATTATGGACAGGTTGATTTAATTAAGTTATTTACATCTGAATGAGTAAAATATAGCTGATAGGTAAAACACTGACTTTCGACAACCCAAAGAATATGTATACGCAATTGTAAACTGTAACAACAAACCTGGCTTCATTAATTAATGATACGGGCAACAAGGGTAGTAATGGTATATTATGTAGATGCCAGGTCCATACTGGTATATTATGTAGATGCCCAATCCATACTTGTATATTATATAGATGCCCAGTCCATACTGGTATATTATGTAAATACCCAGTCCCCACTTGTCAATACTGGTATATTATGTAAATGTCCAGTCCATACTGGTATATTGTGTAGATGTCCAGCCCATACTGGTATATTAGGTAGATGTCCAGTTCATACTGGTATATTAGGTAGATGTCCAGTCCATACTAGTATATTGTGTAGATGTCCAGTCTATACCAGTATATTATGTAGATGTCCAGTCCATGCTGATCCATACTGATATTTTATGTAGATGTCCAGTCCACACTGGACCATACTGGTATATTATGTAGATACCCAGTCCACACTGGTCAATACTGGTATATTATGTAGATGTCCAGTCCATACTGGTATATTATGTAGATACCCAGTCCACACTGGTCAATACTGGTATATTATGTAGATGTCCAGTCCATACTAGTATATTGTGTAGATGCCCAGTCTATACCAGTATATTATGAATACATTGTGAACGTACAATGAGCCTGTGACCTCTTTATTGGTTTATTATGACAGGTTTCAGTTTCATTGCAGGGGGTTGGATGGCCGAATGGATAGCATGTGCGCACTGTATCATACATTGACATACATGAGTCAACTGTACGTGACAAGGAGAAGGGTCGCCTGTCCTACCTCATGGGTTTTCTCCCGGTCCTCCCACTGCTAAAGACCCCTACGCGCAAGTGAATTATTGAAATAATATTGAGCCATGTGTTAGTCCCAAAATGACCTAGTTTGTGTCGAGTGGACGTTAAACCCCATTTCTTTTTTTAACCCGTGTGCGTATACAAGGGTATATCGGGACCCCGTCGCCATATCCCTAACATTTGTGAGGAACTGGTTCATAATTGTCTGTCGAGAATGTTATACATTCTCAGCTCTTTAATGTCCGGTATAATGTTGCAAATAGAACAGAAGTGAGGCAGTGGCAACATTTATCATTTGACAAGAAACTACGAGTATTACATTATCGGACACAAGTGGTCTTGTGGACCCCCTTGCCTTTTCCTTTCAACATTTTGCTGGTTACAAGTGTCTATTCTATAATGCTCCCGGCTAGCTTTGTATTCGGAATCTTTCTTACAGATGATATTGTGTTGGTCATTCTAGTAATCTAGATCTGCAGCAAATCCAGGTACTCTACCAACCTCATCAAAAGACGATTCTACATGGAAATGACAATTAAAGGGGAAGACCAACGATTTTTAACAAGGTTTCCATAAATCTTAAATATACTGAGCGCCATGGAAAACGCATCACTTTTTTCCCCAAATATTTTATTACTAGGTGGATTTGTATGTATAATATTATGCAATACTATGAACTATTGTTTCACACAATGCTCCCAAACGCAAAAAATATCGGCCCGTGTGCACAAAAAAAAATTGCACGAGATGCACATGAAAAACCCGATATTCACTTGCAGCATTGTGTGTGAGCCCTTTAAAAGCATGTTTTCAACTTAATGTGCAGTACATGAACTGTGACAGATTCCGCCCAGCGACTCGAACAGGTGCAGCAGTCGTCGGAAGACAAGGACCAGTAAATGCCAACACCGTAAGACGTCGTCTAAGCGAAGTAGGACACCGTGCACGACGACCTTATGTTGGAGCTATCCTCAGGGATCATCACCGTCAGCGGCGTTTGATATGGGCTCAAGGACACCAGACATGGAGAAGAGTAGACTGGCAAAGTGTGCTCTTCAGTGATGAGAGTCGCTTTCATCTTTATCACGCCGATGGCCGTCAACGTGTGTGGAGACGTCTTGGGGAACGTCTTGCAGACTGTTGCGTCTTCGAAACGAATCGATGGGGTGGGGGAAGTGTAATGGTGTGGGGAGGCTTCACATTTCATCACCGGGCCGCCCTACACATTTGCAGGGATCGCGTTAAAGCTGTAGCCTACCGTGATGATGGCCCGTGGAGGACACACACGCTACTGACATCTGTGTCGTACTTTTGGTTTTGACCCCTCTGACTTTGTGCCCTTGATTACAGATTAAACATCCATAAGTGTACAAATGTGTTGTTATTGATGTGTTCCCATTTGAATATTGTTCACAATAAGAAGCAAAATAAATAAGATATGTTTACAGGATCATTTTGTTATACGAAAAACTAAGTGATGCGTTTTCCATGGCGCTCAGTAGACAAGCAAAAAAGTTTTTGTAAGCGAGAAATTAATTTTTATTAAAACCGGAAGTGACATAGTTGGTTCAACACGCTAACTGGGCTCTATAGTAAGTGATATATAGCATAGATATTTTTGTTGTTCAAAATATTATTTTTTAAATTTAACATGGCAGTAGCAAATCTCCCTCATCGTCATCTTTCAAATTGACCACCGTTCAGTATGTCACATTATTTTACATAATATAGTATACGTGTATCACGTATGGTACACAATTTATTAAATAATACCCGTGAAATGTTAACTTAACCTATTAGGATGTTTAAATGGTCTTGCGACTATCTCTTATTCAAAGGGTTAATCTTTGTAAATTTATCTATAATCCCCTTAACATGTTTAATTTAGTTCCAAGTAAACTTCTGAACTGATGATAAGGTTTGCTTTATATACGACAGAAGACATACGGTCAGTATTCTTACTGTACCAGTCTTTAATAAACGCTTGAACCTTCATCAGCGTATATAATTTATTTGGAACTCTATATTATATTTAGATCACCAGAATATAATAAACGTTTGAACCTTCATCAGCGTATATAATTTTTTTGGAACTCTATATTATTTTTAGATCCCCAGAATATACTGTGAGAACGTGAAAGATCCCCATGTGATACTATGGGGACAGATAATCGTCTAGGACCTGCTTGGACTTCACGTTGTTGGATGAATTATTTCAATCATCAATTAATTGACTCTGGAACACCGTTTGTGTTGTTACTAAGTTTATCTAACGAATACAGCAAACTACAAAGGTTACATACACGAAACTACAATATCTATGATAGTTACGTTTTGGGTTATTAAATTATCCACGGTCTGAGTTTAATATCCTTTCTAACCCAGACCTAACGGCTTAAAGGTGGCAAGAGCCACATACTTCTTGATAGTTCTACATAACGTTCGCGCTAGGATGATGTGTTCACCCTAGCCTCTAAGCCGAGGAGGCTATAGGTATGGCGATCCTTTGGGCTCCGAATGATTGTCTGAGGGTAAATCAAACCCGCTCTTTCCTATATAGAAAATGTAATGCGTCATCTATTAGGGCGGGACAATTACCATTTTTGGGTAAGTGTTTCATATAGGCACCGTTTAACGTCAACATTGTTCTATTTAATTGGACTAATCCGTGCCCGAGATGACTGGATGATAGTAGCCTACTTTCCAGAAATGGGTACTGACATAAGTGTCTGTGAGTTAGACTAAGATAGTAGCAGAGTAATGCAAGCTACTTCATTACCCTAGTTTTTGTCACACATCATGTAGGTAAAGATTTATATATTAAACAGAACACTTTTCTTAGACCCAAAATAACCCTATAGTGTTACAATGCGCCC